AGAGTGTCAGGGAGAGGAGCCTGATACCCCCTCTCCCCAGCGGCAGTTTACAGTTCAGAGAGAGGAGCTTGTTACACCCCCTCTCCAGCGGCAGCCTAACCCAGCAAGGGGAGATGTTACACCCCCCAACAGTGCAGATGGGACTGTAGTCTCTGCACTTACAGCACAAGGGGTAGGGACAGTTGGTCCTGTTCCCCAGCCACAGAGCGGTGTATCCAGAGGGGAGACAGTCGGTCTCTCCCTCCCACAACCAGGCTCCCACCAGGCTACTTCCGTGGTAGCACTGGCATCAGGGCAGAGTACCTCTGGTCTCTGCCCACTCAGCAACCCACCAAGGCAGCCTAACAGTTGCCCACACAGTCGTGGTGAGGCACCTGGACATGGACAAAGTTCTCCTCTACCCAGGTGTAGTAACCAGTTATTGTGGGTGGGCTGTACTGCTGTTTCTGTTTTGTGGGTGGGTTGCTGGACTAACCAGGGCACTGACCGGCAGGAGGTCAGATACCCTGTTAGTCTAGTTGGTAAAGGGGAGAAGTGTGGCGAAACCAACCTCGCCACTGTGAACTGGAGAAGCCTGGTTGCTCGCCTGCTCCCTTTGGACTATGGCCCTGCAGGTTAAACCGTTTATTTCCCCTGCAGAAAGGCTTATTTGTGTGATCTGAGTGCCATTCATCTAATAATGTGCACCTCAGATCCCAGCTATCTGGGGATATGTGAAATGTCTGTGTGTTATGTGTAAATGTGACTTTATGTATTTTAAAGTGTTTTGTGTCTTTTTGCAACCATGTGCTTAATGAAGTCTTGTGTCTATCCTGGGAGATAATTGAATTACTCTCCAGGATAGAAGACTCTGAAACTGGTTTGGGCCAGAAAGCCATGCTTCATTTAGTCACAAAGGACTTTTTACTAACTTTTGAACCCCTGGTCTGATTCATGCCATTTTTTAATATGTTGTTCCCCTGAATGGATTGATTGTGAATATGTAATTTTATGTGAATGTGATGTATGGTTTTAGAGTTATGAAAGTTGGGTAGAAAGTATGTTTTAACTGTATGTGTAATTGAGTTTCCTCTCAGGATAAGGGGAGGGAATATGTGGGATGTAACTGTGATGTGATTGGTTGTTTTGTAACGCCCTGTGGGCTGTACTATGTTTGTGGATTGGGAATAAAAGAGACTGTATGTGACAGTACAGGGAGTTCCTGCTTAACCCTCAAAGTGAAGTGTCGCCTCATTATTGGGGGAAGGATTTATTGTATGCTGTTCCAGTTTGACTGCTAGGAGAGTAAACCTATTCGTATGGTTCCTATTCAACTGTCTACAGCATTCATATGCTTGAGAGGATTCATATGCTTCTCCGGTTCGGTGGTTGTGGTGTCTGCTGCAGTGCTTGGAGTCCTCAGGAAGTGCTAGGAGCATCCTTCAACGGAGGTACCCAGTCGGGGTGCCAGGCGATCCGTTACAGTGGCAAATTCCGAGGTTAAGCTTTAGCCGCAAGCATCTGGTGTAACGAACATTTCGATACATATAACCGCTACTTATAGGAAATTTTAAGTAAGAGTGGCTATATGGATGTTTACAAGTGCCTAGTTATCTATATGTTGCTAATCATGTATGTTTTTGTCAGGTATACGGGGACCTCAGAAACATTGTCTCCTACAGGGCCGTGCAAATTGTAAAGGTAACCCTAGCTGGAAGACATCCTCCGCAATTCTGCCAGCGCAATTTAATAAAGTTTTCATGCGCACCAATTAGGCTACGCATGCGCACTAGACATTTCCCGACAGCAGTTAGTGCAGGACTCACAGGTGTGTGTTCCTGCACCTGACTAGACGGAATCAGGTGTCCATGTGCACATGCGCCACAGCTAGATTGGGCGCAAAGATTTGAAGATAGAAGAAGAGACGCCGGAAGGACGGGCAGATCACCCACAGCTCCTGAGGAAGTCGGGACGAAACGCATAGAGCCATTAGTTTAGCAGTCCAGAGACCTTACTACCACCACCGTTCCAGTTGCAAGTATTTCTCAGCCCCGGGAGTCGCGACTAAGGGCTTTGTATACTTTCTTTTTTTCTCGTTGGTTTAGTGGTTGGGGCCAGGCATTTATTCCCTGGTCTTGCAATAGTACTGCCTTATTATATTGTATATACTTTTTCATTGAGCGTTTTTAATGTTTTATTATTGGGCATTCCAAGTACATTCCCACAATAAAGTCTTGTTATATTTTTAATATATAACATTTTGAACATCACATTTTTACTTTCTTTATATCACTGTATCTTTAGTGTCTAGCGCCCTCATCTGGTGGGTTATATACCCATCTTTTGTCCATATTTGTTTTCATAGGCTTTATTTGAGTGTGCCTAAAAAGTGGTGGCTTTTCACAAATAGATCTATATCTGTGGTTCTTTTATCGTTTATACTTATTTTGAATGTGTGCTGCCGTAGGCATGACAAAACTGGGGCTACCCCCCTAATTTAAATTTAACCCACCCCTTCCTGTCAAGGCCGCACACAATTTGATTGACTGACACTCCCTCACTGATGCATGCACTGACATGCACATGCAGTGGCGTGCACACGAACTATGGAGCCCCGGTGCAAAAATTGATCCATGCTTTCCTATGGGCGGTTTGAATGCGCGTGCGGCTCTTGCCGCACATGTGGAGCTAAGAGGCGGATCGGAGCAGAAGGATCCCCAGCACCAATGGAGTCCAGCGCTGGAGAAAGGTAAGTGCTGAAGGGGTTTTAAACACACGCACACAGACACACACATTTACTGACAGAGACATACTCAGTTACAGACACACATACACACTCACTTACAAAATATACACTCTCACTGACAAACACACACTCACTAACAGACACCAAATAGACTCACTAACAGACACACACAAACTAACAATCAGTAACACATACACACACACTCACTGACACACAAACTAACACACACACTGGCACTCACTAGCAGACACACTCAATAACAGACACATGCAAACTAACACACACAGTAACACACACACAAAAAGCCAACCAGTCCACCCGGTGATACCAGGGCCAGCCTCGGGTGACTCTGAGGTGGCCAACTACTGGAGCCCCCAGGAGAAGAGGCTGGCCACACTGGCGTACATAGCGGGTCGCAGGGCAGCCGGGCCCCCTGTGACCGCGGTATGTAAGCCCGTGTGCACAAGGTTTAGCCAATACACAATTTCACTGAGACACACACACTCACTGACAGGCACACACTCTCAGATACACTGACATACAATGACATACACGCTGATTTGACACACTCTGACAGACACAGACTATTATGCAGACCCATACATTCACTGACAAACACACACTGACAGTCACATACACTCACTGACAGACACACACACTCAGGCCCGGACTGGCCATCGGGCACACCGGGCAAATGCCCGGTGGGCCGCGGTGGCCGTGGGGCCGAGGCCGGCAGGGGAGGTCCCAGGATCTCCCCTGCCGGTCTATGCAGGGCCGGCACTATCCGAGCGCCGGCCCCGCTGTTTGCCATGGAGGGCCGGTGGGGAGATCAAAGATCTCCCTCACCGGCCCATTTAAATAGACCTGCGGCTGGGGAGGGAGGGAGAGGACCCGGCGGAGCTCTGTCTTGCAGCTCCGCCGGGTTTCTCTCGCGAGATCCGGAGCGTTGCCATGGCAACGCCCCGATCTCGCGAGACAGTTCACTCACCACTGGACCACCAGGGATGGTGTGTGAGTGCCGGTGCCCCCCCTCCCAGCTACCACGTGCCTGTCCCCCCCTCCCAGGCTAAAGGTAAGAAGGGAGGGGGGGGGTTTAGTTTTTTTTTTTGCTTAGTTTTTATTTATTTTTTTTATATATTTACCCCCACTTAATTTTTTATTTGTTTATTTACCCCCCAACACACAACATTTATACACAGCACTATCACACTCAGCATTCTCAGCACTCACACAAAACTCTCACACACATCACACCCAGCACTCTCACACCCAGCACTCTCACACCCAGCACTCTCACACCCAGCACTCTCACACCCAGCACTCTCACACAGCACTCTCACACTCAGCACTCTCACACACAGCACTCTCACACTCAGCACTCTCACACACATCACACGCAGCACTCTCACACACATCATAGCACTCTCACACACATCATAGCACTTTCACACACATCATAGCACTTTCACACACAGCACTCTCACACACATCATAGCACTCTCACACACAGCACTTTCACACTCAGCACTCTCACACACATCACACGCAGCACTCTCACACACATCACACACAGCACTATCACACCCAGCACTCACAACACACAACACACTCACACCCAGCACTCTCACACCCAGCACTCTCACACACAGCACTCTCACACTCAGCACTCTCACACTCAGCACTCTCACACACATCACACGCAGCACTCTCACACACATCATAGCACTCTCACACACATCATAGCACTTTCACACACATCATAGCACTCTCACACACAGCAGTTTCACACTCAGCACTCTCACACACATCACACTCAGCACTCTCACACACATCACATGCAGCACTCTCACACACATCACACACAGCACTATCACACCCAGCACTCACAACACACAACACTCTCACACACAGCACTCTCACACACAGCGCAGCACTCTCACACATCATAGCACTCTCACACACATCATAGCACTCTCACACACAGCACTCTCACACACATCATAGACAGCAATCTCACACATCGCAGCACTCTCACACACATCATAGCACTTTCACACTCAGCACTCTCACACACATCACACAACACTCTCACACACAGCACTCAGCACTCAGGCACATCACTCTCACACACATCACACTCAGCACTCACACACATCATACACAGCACTATCACACTCAACACTCATACACAGCACTATCACAATCAGCACTCACACACATAACACACAACACTCACACACAGCACTCATCACACATCATACACAGCACTATCACACTCAGCACTCACACACACTAAAACAGACCTTATTACACAATACCACACCATGACCAGCTCACTCTGCACAAACGTAATACCACAAACAGGCTCCAAACACATGCACAATACTCTTTCCTGGCCCTTTTGTCTCCTGGTATCCATTTATAGAGACATCAGAGACAAGTTGCAAGGAAACAGTGCAAGCATGTTATTAAATTTGCTTGCACTGTGCAGAACAAATACAGGGCTTTTTTCTCATGCTAGAGCTCTTCAGCAGAGCTCTGTGCATGGTCTGCCCTGGAAGAGCATTGAACCAACATGCTCACTTTGAGAGGGAGCGTGTTTGTCATGAGTGATGACAAAACACACCCTCTCTGCCCCGCCCCCTTCTTAGTGGGCCGCTGTGATAAAAAAATGCCCGGGCTGAATTTTTTTCCCAGTCCGGCCCTGCACACACTCATTAAAAGACACACACACTCCCTCACAAACACACACTGACAAACTCATAGACATGCACACCTTAACTGACAGACACACACACACCCATTGACACAAACACACACACTCACTGACAGACACACACTGACTGACAAACACAAACTCAAAAACACACACACTCACTCACTCACACACTGAAAGACATACACACACATAAACTGACAGCCACACACACACTCATACACATTTCTCCCAACACTCAATTTTTATATATATATTTTTAAATCCACCTAGCCTCCCTGGAAGATCTGGAGTGAGTTCCCTACCTGGGTCCAGTGGGGCTGCTGGGGTTGCTAGTGCTGCTGGGGATGAACTGGCAGAGTAGGTGATGAGGGAGCTCTGATCTTCCTGCTCAGCTCCCTTGCTCGCTGCTTAGTGATGCCAGGAATTGGAATTTGTGGGGCAAGGTAACACTTTGTCATGTTCCTCAAACCATTCCTGAACAATATTTGCAGTGTGGCGGGGTAAATTATACTGCTGAAAGAGGTCACTGCCACCTGGAAACATCATTGCTATGAAAGGGTGTATATCTTCTGCAACTATCTTTGGGTAGGTGATACGTGTCAAAGTGGCATCCACATAAATGCCAGAACCCAAGATGTTCCAGCCCAGAACGTAACACTGCCCCGCTGGCCTGCCTTTTTCCTATAGCGTATCCTGCTACCATTTCTTCCACAGGTAAATGACGAACATACACCGGGCTATCCACCTGATAAAAAAGACATGATGCATCAGACCAGGCAACTTGCTTCCATTGCTGCATGGCGCTTTTGGCAGTGGACAGAGGTCATGATGGGTACTCTGACAAGTCTCCGGCTACGCAGACACATATATAGTAAACTGTGATGCACTGTGTGTTCTGACACCTTTACATTTGAGGGACACCTTTACATAGATTTGAGGGATTTCCTGCCTGGTCTATGTTCGGGGAAGTTTCACCTTAACATAGTTTAGAGGGATTCCTTGCTCTGCTGCGCTTGTCTATGTTCGAGGAAATATCCCAAACATAGCCAAGCGCACCAGAGCAGGGAATCCCTTTAATCTATGTTCGGGGAACGTTCTCCAAACATAGATTTGAGGGATTCCCTGCTCTGCTGCGTTTTTCTATGTTCAGGGAATTTCCCCCAAAAATAGACCTGCACTGGTAAATATGCGCCTCACTTACCGACCAATTTGTTTTAAGGCTGGGTCGTAAGAATGGAACCCGGTCGGTAAGTGAGGAGTATCTGTACTGCTATCCAACTTACTTTTCTATATAAACATGAGCACAAATTTAATGAATTGCAATAACAATATAACAAACATACAGTACACCAAACAGTAAAGAATACCCTTTTCTATAAAATAAGTTTAGCATGATAAAGACTTATATGTTAAGAAGCACTTTAGGATAATAATAATAAGTAGTGACAATTAAGTAGAAAAGAAATAGTGCGGTATTACTTTTATTTTTGTTATTATTGAAACTAAATATGCCATGGTATGACATAATGTTCCTTTAAAGGGAATGCAGTTTAATTTTCAGATACAAAGAGAAATAGCATGCATGAGGAAATTTTAAGTAAGAGTGGCTATATGGATGTTTACAAGTGCCTAGTTATCTATATGTTGCTAATCATGTATGTTTTTGTCAGGTATACGGGGACCTCAGAAACATTGTCTCCTACAGGGCCGTGCAAATTGTAAAGGTAACCCTAGCTGGAAGACATCCTCCGCAATTCTGCCAGCGCAATTTATAAGATAAATTTAAATATACCTGAGAGTGCAGGGTCCACAGAATTTGTCATTTTGTGAACTTGTCATCTCATAGCACACACTGGGAAGAAGATTACCTGATGCAAACCTGATTCTGCCAATGTCTTACTTTTAGAGTAGGGCATATAAAAGGTGCATGATGTATGGGTGAAGTATACAAGCTGATAAATGTCTGTGTTGTTTTTATGATGTCAGTGAATATCTGTCTACAAAGGGCACCCCAAGTGCTTGAATATGAACGGGCATCTTATGCAAGCTATTTTCTCCTAAGTGAATGCAGTTCTGTCTGTCTTGAGAGCCAAAAGAGGATAACTCTGCCATTCTGCACTTAGATAAATAATAAAAATTAGACTAATTTTCTGTCTAGCTGCCTATAAGAATGTCTCTGTCATCCTGCTATCAGATCAATAAGTGAGTGTCTATTTAGGTGCATTGTGCTGAGTGAGTGACATTTTGCAGGGTGATTAACAGATTAGATATAGTCTAGCCGCACTCTGCATCACAACTCAGCATCACGTGGGCTTTTTGTCTACTCCAATCAATGCATTAACAACTCAACACCAGATACTGCTCAGAGCCTCTCTGACTTCTCAGGCGCTGCTCACTGATTGTGCATCTGTCTTTAAATGTGCACTCTAATAATTGTGTTGCCTTTGTCAACCTGCACTCTATGGTCAACCTGCACAGTGAGGGTTTCTCTGCATGTCATTTGGTATGATAGCAAAATGGATATGAGCAAATCAATTAGCATAGATCATTAGCAAACAGCCAGATGCATAGCTCAGCACTTAACCCATCACTGCTTCACATCACTTTGCATGTTAGTGACGAGTATCTAGTTTACTATAGATACAAGATTTATTCCCTAAACAGGAGATTGTGGTGATATACGAAATTCAGTGAAAAACAGTATAAAATTAGCTAATGAGAAATAGCTGAGGCCTAAAGTGGACGACTTTACCAACTTGACTATTTTCTGCCTAATTACTACAATTCTCTTAATTTTCATTAAACCTTGCAACATTGTGTGGACAGATTACTGATAATGAACATGGTGCACTGCATGATAGAGTTGGGTAACTAAACACTACTAATGAATATACTGAACTGTTCCCTACATGTAATAAAGTGTGGCAATTAATATAGTGATAATTAACATGCCATATTGCTCTGTGATGCTGTTTTTAAGCACAGATTGTTAATATAGTGGCTGTACATAAAGGTTAAAAAAAATAATCTACCGGTATGTATACATTGCTTCAACATTTTAGAAGCCCAATATCTAAGTCATATTACAAATTTTATGTAAATGGCACTATAGATAGCCAAGTATAAATTGTAAAAAAATATATATATTTATGTATAAAACACACACATAAAATATACACATTTGACATACACAGGCATCCATCTGTGTGCATTCAGTCTGTGAGTCAGGGGGTATTCAGAATGGCCTGTCAGTGTTCCACAGACTGCCTCATTAACATGCAAATTAGCCCGCTCTGTCTGACGATCCTTCTCTCAGACAAGCTACACGGATATGCAAATGCTAACGAACCTCTTGAAATGGCAAGTTTGCTTCGTTAGTGAAGGAACGCAGGGCAGGCGGGGGCTAAACATGAGGGGTTCAAATCTGACAGATGAAGCAACAAAGTGTCTCCTATAGAGTCTATGAGGGGTGATTCATGTTCAAACTGGGAATCCAGTTACCATTGCATCCTACACAAAGCATGAATCAGGATTTTAATATGTCCTCTTTATATATCATTCAATTAAAAAAGAAAACCTGTTTATTTGCTATTCTTTCAGTAAATAACTGGATCCTAAACGTCTGTCTCTTTTTTTTCTCTATAACAGACTTGTACAACTTGGCAGTAGGTAGGGGCCAAAATTAAAATAGGCTACACTTCTTCTGTCACAGATGGGTTTTTAGCGCTGTACTTTCCAAGTAAAGATATAATTAACGACTAAACTATTTTGCAAATAAACAAAGTAAATTATCAAAATTAATTTGCTAAGCGGTACAATTTTTCACTCTTTTGCCCTTTCTCCAACCCCTCTGTGTCTCTTGGTGTCCCTATAACTCCGTATATCTCTCCATAGAACCTCTCCCTATAACGCCTAATATCTCTCCTTATAACCTCTCCCTATAACGCCTAATATCTCTCCTTATAACCTCTCCCTATAACGCCTAATATCTCTCCATGTAGCTTCTCCCTATAACTCCTCCTATTTCTCTATATAACCTCTCCCCATAACTCCTTATATCTCTCCACTTAACCTATCTCTATAACTCCTCCTATCTCTCTATATAACCTCTCCCTATAACTCCTCCTATCTCTCTATATAACCTATCTCTATAACTCCTCCTATCTTTCCATATAACCTCTCCCTATAACTCCTCCTATCTCTTTATATAACCTCTCCCTATAACTCCTCCTAGCTCTCTATATAACCTCTCCCTATAACTCCTCCTATCTCTCCATATAACCTCTCCCTATAACTCCTCCTATCTCTCTATATAACCTCTCCCTATAACTCCTCCTATCTCTCTATATAACCTCTCCCTATAACTCCTCCTATCTCTCTATATAACCTCTCCCTATAACTCCTCCTATCTCTCTATATAACCTCTCCCTATGACTCCTCCTATCTCTCCCTATAACTCCTCCTATCTCTCCATATAACCTCTCCCTATAACTCCTCCTATCTCTTTATATAACCTCTCCCTATAACTCCTCCTATCTCTCTATATAACCTCTCCCTATAACTCCTCCTATCTCTCTATATAACCTCTCCCTATAACTCCTCCTATCTCTCTATATAACCTATCTCTATAACTCCTCCTATCTTTCCATATAACCTATCTCTGTAACTCCTTCGATCCCTCCTTATAACCTCTCACAGGGGTGTACTGAGCATTCAAGCAATCAGCAACAAACCGAGAGCCAAAAAATCTGAGGGGATTTATCCACAGTTCAACTGGAGTTCAAATGATAACTTCTCCTCACTGTGTTTGCCAATGCAGCTGCCAGTACAATGAATCAGTGGTGTCTGGTGATGGTTAAAATTGCTAGCACGCTAGACCGTACCAGAATTTGACTCTGTCCAC